CCGCGCGCGGAGCAGCGGCGCCCGCCCTGCGAGCCGGAGCCTGCCGAGGAGGAAGCCTGCTTTCCAAACCGCTGGGATCCTAAGCGCGGGGCAGCTGCCGAGGAATTCGCCAGCGAGCGCGGAAAAAAAAAGTGACAGCGGAGCGTCACCGGGGCGCGCGCGTGCGGGTGTAGGTATACATACGTATGCACATATATATACATTGATTCAATTGTTTTTCTTTCAGGCTGCCCTGCCGAAAGCTACAGTGTTGGATTTGTCCTGTAACAACCTCATTTCCCTGCCGGTAAGATGCTAGGGAGCCTTGCGAGGAAACATTCCGAGCAAATAACACACGGTGCAAGTGGGAGGTTTGGAACTAGCACTTCTGGCCTGGCTGGATGACGACACTGCCGGTTGAGGGGGATGGCGGTGGTAGTTTTTAATGAGGCAGGCGGAACGCAATGGGAAGGGTTTCTCCTTGGAGAAGCTGTTTCTCCTTGTTTGTTTTTTCTGCCTGGGTTTAGTCGGACTTCTGTAGTTTGCTGCATCTGGTGAAACTGGATTTGAGTAAAAATCGGCTCCAACAACTGCCCTTGGACTTTGGCCGGCTGGTCAATCTGCAGCACCTGGACCTTCTGAACAACCGTTTAGTCACCCTGCCAGTCAGCTTTGCACAGCTCAAGGTAAAAGCCATTTGCTAGGCAGTTATGTAAAGCCTTTGGAGGCAGCCCAGGGTCTTGTGATTCTTCTCAAGTTGTTTTCTCTGCTAAAGCATCAGTTCTGCTAGCTACCCATTTCAAAATTCATCTGGGCTCTGCACCACAGCTCAGCGGAACCTCATTTCTACTGAAGCAACATCTGCTTGAGCTCTCTGCTTGTCTTCCGTCCCTGCTTCATTTATGTGAAATTTAAGTAGCTTTTTGCTGCTATTTAGTATTTCTAGAATAATCACAAGACTGTGTGCTACGTGTGTGCTCTTATAGCCTCCTGTTTGTCATTCCTTTCTGCAGAACCTGAAGTGGCTGGATTTGAAGGACAATCCCCTGGATCCTGTTCTGGCTAAAGTAGCAGGAGACTGTCTGGATGAGAAGCAGTGTAAACAGGCTGCTGTCAGGGTAAGGAATCTGCTTACCATTTGTTTTCCATTCTTGGGTTTGCTGGCTGCTGCTTCTTCTCCTATTGCTTAGCAGATTGGGCTGCTACTGCAGCAGTTTGGAATTTCTTCAGTCATTGGGAAACAGGCAATGAATTCATTGCTTCCTTGCCTTTAGCAAGCAAAGAGTGAGCTAAGCAGGGTTCTTTTTCATTAATGGAGTTAAAAGTATTAAATGCTGGTTGCTAGCAATGCAGATACCTTTAGACAAAATAATCCATGTGCAGCCTTTTGCGGAGCGCAAAAATCTCTCACAAAGTTCTGACAAACTATAAGCTCACATTAATAGTTTTTGCTGGGAGCTGTGGAGCAAGAATAGTTAAGTCTGGGTCTGTGTTGCTGTCTTGTACTAAGAAGTCAGCCTCATAAAAGAGCAAGTGTTCTGTGATGCTCTGTATTCGCTAGCACCAGTTTGCCTTGCTTTGTAATGAAAATCTTTCTCTTAACTGCAAAGACTGAAATGGGAAGGTCAGAGTTCTCCTTGTAACCATACCTGTAAGGCTAAGTCATCTGTGTGCAAATATATCTGATTAGTAACTCATCCCAGCTGAGCATCTTCTGCCCGTTTTCAGCTCCACTCTAACTGTTCTGTTTTGAAATGAATGCAAAGAACCTTCTGCATTCATCCCATATTGTTTTCTTGAACCTTGAAGGTCCTGCAGCATATGAGAGCAATCCAGTCTGAGCAGGATCGGAAAAGGCAACAGAAGCTCCAAGCAGAGCGAGGTAGGTGTAGAGCCCTTGTGCACCCTCTGTTGAGGACTGATCCTGATCTCTACTCCATACCCAAGCACATTCACAGCCATCTAACAAATATCTGTAACTATCACAGTTCTGAGGACCCAAGGAGTCCTGGGGAAGGAGGGAGAAAGACAGCTTGGCATAACTGTGTGGTTTCTTGCCTGGAAAATAGTTCAGCTCCCTAGGGGAAATGCTCTATAGGTTATGTATAAGAAGTATGAAGGAAGAACATAGGACTTACTTTAAGTGAAGCCTAAACCATAGGGAGCAAGGTGGAAGGTACATAGTGTTTTAGAACAATAATCCAGGGTACTTACTTGATTGTTTCCCCATTACAGTGGGGAACAGGGAAGCAGGTAATAAGGAATAAGGCAATGATAACCATTAACACAAAGAGAAAAAAATATTGTATTAATCCTCAGAAATGGAGAAGAAACGTGAAGCAGAACAGCGAGCAAGGGAGGCTCAACAGAGGGAACTGCGGAAGCGAGAGAAGGCAGAAGAAAAGGAACGCAGAAGACGAGAGTATGATGCTCAGAGAGCTGCAAAGCAGGAGATGGAAAAGCAAACTAAAAAAGAAACTGTTCAGACTCGAAGTAAGTTGCATCCACAGTGGGTCCAAGCATTCTGTAGAGGCTGCAATGTAATATTTTAATTTGCAACTTGAGCTCAGCAGAGGAAAAACAAGGGGAAGAGAAGGAACAAGAGCTCTACCCTAGAGGCTGCATCAGTCTTTATCAGATTCTGATGGTGGGGAATGGTCAGAGTGGTGGGGAAACAGCACAGTAGTAGAACTTGTTAGAAATCTAACAGGTAGACAGCTGAAGGAAAAAAAGACAACACTTCGGTATCTTTGATGGCTGAACTACAAGATTCAGAAAATTTTCCAGATGTTCCTAAGCAAAAGCCCCCTCCATTCAGTTCTTTTTGAATGAACTGAGATGTATGTGCAAAACAGAACTTGGGCAATAGAGGTCCCTCACACCCTACTCATTTCCACCTGAATCAATCTGAAACTTTCATCCTAGAGGGATAGATCCTCTGCATTTATTTACTGACATATAAGGGATGAGAATTCATGACAAAAGACAGCTAAAGCACAAGCTATAGCATCTTACTTGAGCTTCTGACTTCCCAATGTAGATTGTTCAGAGATACTTCGGATTCACTCCTCACATCTCTCACGAAATTGTTCTTGTTGCAGAGTCGCCCTCCAAGTCCCGTCCACCTCAACCACCGAGGAACAAGCACTCCTGGTCGCGCTCGGTGTTGAGAGTCCTGCTCTTTGTGCTGGTCTGCATCCTCTGTGCTTTGGCAGTCTGCAAGCTGACGGAGCTGCAGCATCAACCTCTCTGCATCAGTGTGAACACTCTCTATGAGGATGTGGTAGCTGCTCTGCAAAACCACAAAAGCCTGCAAAATTTGCTCCACCAGAACTCGCAGCAGTGATTCTCCTGGATGGGCGCTTGCTTTGTCAGCATCTCCTTCCACCATCTACGCAGCCAGAATTCCTATGGAATTGTGTTCTGATGAAACTGCTTTTAATCAGTCAGCATTGATTTGCTGGTCCACTCCGCACAGAGCAGAATTGCTGTTCAGATCATCTTTGCTGTGCATGTTTCTCAGCTGGCCAGTAATTCCCAGTGTTTGCCTGCATTAACTTAAACTTGTTAACAGTTGTTTCCTCCAAAAGATTTTTGGCTAGATTGTAATATGTGGAAAGCTGCCAATTAACAGGAGTGTGTGGGGGGGAAAGCCTCTGGTTATCTACATACCTATAGCTCTGTAAGGGAGGTGGAAAGTTTTTTAATGCATATCCATTTCTTGTCATTTGTATTCATGCTAAAATTGGTGATATGGCTTTACAGGGATAATATATGTAGGCCTACTCCAGGACCAATTACAAGGCTGTAGGATGGCTGTGCATCCGTGTGTTAGAGTGAAGAAGCTGATGTACTATTGAAAGGAGCTGAAAATTTTCAATACAACAATTTTCGCAGCAATTTGTCTTGATTGGTATTTATGTTGCTAATGTAGAACATGCTTACCTTGCTTCAATTTTATTTATTTATTTTTTTAAGGGTACCACTATAAAATGCTTCCTGGCTAAATACAGTAACCATTATCATTAGCCATCCAGTGTCAACAAGGCAGCCATAGTTTAAGAAGGACTGATTCTACAGACTGGCTTTTGGGGTGTAAATATAGGAGATTTGAGGTTGCAGAAAGCCCGTGGGTGAGTGCCTGTTCTCTGCCTCTAGTTGTTGCAGCACTGTGTGACACTTGGTGGCACTGGTGCAGCATCACATACTAAGGTACTCTGGTAGAAATGGGCTTCACTTCAAGCCTCTTGGAAGGGCTGGGACATGCAGCCTTTTGTATCTAGAGAAAATAACTCAAGTTATAGGCCTTTGCCCACTACCTGTCACATAAATTATTTACAGTTTAGGTGCAGGGAAAAACAAATAGGAGTTTTTCATAACCTTGAAAGAATTGAGTGCTAAAATTTATTGGAATTATTTGTACATATAATGGCCTAAGTGCAGGTTCCACCAGCAGCCTCCACCAAGATGTGCATACATTAGTAATCAGAATTGCTCCCAATTATTGCTGGCAAGAGCAATGCTATGATTGAAAATGTATATCATTTCATAGAAGCAGTAACCCTTCACCCTTGCGCAGTCTAAGCATAAGGTATTAGCTTCTGAACTACATTAGGGAGAAAAGCAACAGCAAGAATTTAAGCTAAAGGGAAAGAACTGTGCATCTCTGCTTAGATGTATTTCTTTCTAAGCTTCCCTAAAACAGCTGTAGTCTTTGCTATTGATATTTAACTTATCACATCCTTAAAACGGTTCTTGCTTAGTATCCAGAAGTGTCTGGACAAGACAAACAACATTCAAAGCAACATTTCTTCTTGGAAGAAACACCATCTGGCAAGAATCTTCTGCTGTGAGCACCATCTAGGAGATGGTGCTGCTTAAGTTAGCAAATACCAACCTATTAAGACTTATTAATTCAAGTCAAAAGCACAGCAAGCAAAGATACCTGCTCAGTGTGTGAGCTGGGGTATCTGTTGGATACCATGTAACAGGATCCAACTCATCCAAGTTAGGACAATTCCAGTGGGTAAATTCCATTCATTGTATGCCTTTAAATTTACTCTCAGCATTCATCTCAGTAAGTACTTTTGTAGCGAAAGACCTCAGCTGTCCTTGTGTATGCACATAAGTACTGATGGCTTCAGGGACAGTCAAGCATGTTCCCCAATCTAATTAAAAGCAAGATTTTTCTGCCAACTGTTTAGACCTCATAATTCCAGCCCATATAATCAGATTGCAAGGCCCGCTATAGGTTAAGCTGTCTGGAGACTGAATCAGGACAGTCTGAATTTACATCTGAAAATTAGTCTTACTCATTCCCATCTGCCACAGTGGAAAACAGAAACAGGGTTATTTCATGAGATAAAAGTTCTTCCGTCTCGCCACAGCAGATGATGGTGCAGCAGCATGTTGTGTCTTCCATTAAGATTTTTTTTCACACTGGAGAGCAAACTTTCAGTTTACGGTATGAGTAGAAAAATATAGTTTCTTTAGAAGACATAAGTCTTAAGTCAAGATTACATGTTAAGAAGTAATGAATGATACTATACAAGACAATTTATCTCCTAGGAAAAGAATGCAGCTCTTTACAAATTGGAAGGTACTATCAGTATTGTAGCCATGTTAAAATCAGGGTCCCATGGGAGATGTTTGCTGTCTTCCTTGTGTAAACTCCATCCATGAGCAATTTTAACCAACTTTCTTCTACCATGATAAAGACTAAATGAGTTTTTAAGTCTTTAAACTAGGAATCATGACTCCATTTATTATTGAAGCACTTCTCAGAAGGAAAATGAATATTTAATCCAGGCAACCAGAAAAATTCTCATTCCCTTGGGCTACTCAGTGAAATCCAAACAGAGATCAGGATCGTGGGAAGTCATCTGCAGGTAGATTCGTCTGGAGAGTTCAGGCCCGATGCGCCGCTTAGTGGCTGTCACACCCTCACCACGGCGCACAACAATATTAGCCAGCATGTGTTCCTGCTCCTCCTCTGAGGAACATTTGCTGTAGGCCTAAAAGCAGTATAAAGGAATGACGGTAGCATCCACTTGCATCCATTTCAAAAAAAAAAAGAATAAATATTTCCAAAGCTAAGCACCTGTGACTTCTCTTTCACAATTTGCACTCATTTTGCACCTGGTCTCTCAGATTTCAAGTGTGAGATTAGAGGCAGATACAGAACCTATTCTACTTCATTAAAAGAGAACAGACTCACTTAAGATGAGCATGCAGTTGCAATAGGAAGGAATGAACATGTCAGCTTAACCAGTAAGTTCCTCAGTACTAACCAACCTATTCTGTAAAACCAAAGCAATGGGTGCAAATAAATCAGTTTCTTCAGTACCTTATTAAACAGTTCATATGGAATTGATTGCATCAGAACTAATACCAAATAAAAGATTTCTCCCACTCCTTATATTAGTTGGTTGTATGCACAGTGCTTAGTATTTGTGAAGCATCCTTACCTGAACCAGAAGCTGAGGAGAAGGGTATGCAGACACAATAGCTTCAGCCATATCAAGGCTGACCCGGTTAAACTGTTGTATCTGCCGTTTCCAAACTTCTAAGAGACCCTTACCGGTAGGATCCAACTTCACACCTCTGCACCCCTCATTCTCTACGCAGAAAGAGAATCCAGTATTTTCCCGCTCTCGCCTATGGAGAATAAAGGATGGGAACATGAATGAGACAATGAAGCTACGAAACAAAAATCTCGTTCTTGCATCTTTTCGCATATGGACAGAGAGAGAAAGATAGAAAAACACTTTGCACTGTTATAAATATTGGCATTGGGGTTGAAGTAAATGCTTAAAATGTGGTCGTATTTTCTCTACGTACATTATCAATTTTCTTGTGTTATGGGTGCTGTTGCTGTTCTTGTGTTAAGAACCAGCCCTGGTTCTGGTGCATACACAGTGCATACACAGTGCACAGTGCAGCCCTGGTGCATACACAGTGGGGAAAAGAATGCACTTTCAGGCTGTCAAAGATAATAGAATGTTTTCCATGCCATTTTTAGAGACTCCTTTCATGTTCAAAATACGAAATACAGGAGCTCTGTGACAGGATTGCTACGATTGTGTAAGACCACACAAATGGTTTTCCGAGCTACCACTGCATACTGTGCTGCTGTCCTTATCAAGGCAAGCAGCTAAATGGTTAATTGTCACTAGTGTCTGCCTTGGTTACATACTGAGGAATAAAAACTGGTGCTGAAAGAACCCTATCATATTTGCATTCCCTTCCCACCTCTGAAGGCAGACTCAGCACAGAGCCTTTACTTGTCAAAGTGAGAGTTCAACTCAAAATCAAGGTCTGTCCTCAACCTTCCCAAGACATTACATCAGTTTCTAAGAACTAACCCGATTTTGAGGGAGCAGCATCAATAGTTGTTCTGCATTGCCTGCTCCTTTAAAAAGCATTATACAATGTTGCACCTCAGTACAGCTGTATATCTGTTATTCCCTCCCAGTAATCCTGAAAGTTAAACCTCTCCCAAGAAGATATTAAAAACTCATCTGCCTGCTCACTTGTATGGTGCTTCAGCTACTGCTTTAGTGAACATAGTGACAAACTCCACGAGCTCCTCCAGGCTCTCAGCAAGTCTGACTTGGACGTTTGTCTGCAACAGCAAATCCACTAATGCCTGTAAACAACAGGGGAAACAATAATTGAAAAATTCATCCTCTTATCCCATCAAACTCCACTCTTATCTGAAACAAAATAAGGATTCATTGCATCTGCTACAGGACAAGGCCATCCACACTCTCCCCGTTGTGAGCAGCCAGCCTGAGGCACTTGGGTGTGGAGGGGCGCACTGTTCCTGGCAGTTTCGTGCCAATTCAGCTGACTTGGCTCCTCAGTGAAGAAAAAGCACGACTGGATTAAACGCTCACTCAGTGGCAGACAGGAACAGGGACAAGCACTGCATGTGTGTTCTAAAGGTACTCACATCTTCCACATCCAGCCTGGACACATCTGGACCGGAATCCTTAGCTTTCTTTTTTCTCTGTTTTCCCTTATCCTCTGCTTGGTCTCCATTCACTGCTTCTGGTTGCAGCCTCTTTTTTGACTGAGTTCTGAGAGATCTAAGAGGAGGAAGACAAGTTGAGGAGTTCCTGTTAGCACAAACAGCACAGAAGATCAAACTGCTGTAGAGTGTCTAACAACTCAGTACCACCACCCCTGCCTAGGAGACACCAAACAGAGGAATCTGTCAAGGACTATAAAATACATAAACTTTGCATCTGATTAAGAAAATTCCTCAGCAGCAAATTTTGGAGAGCTAGGAAAGTATTAAAAGAAAGCATAGTGCTACACTGCCTGCCTCTTCCCATGCACTACCCTGGATATTTAGTGTTGTTCACTCATGGTGACAGGCTATGTGGACCTTTGTTTCTGGTCTTATAAAACAAAGAGTAGTTCTGGGTAGGAATATGTTTTATGTTTCAGTCTTTGCTAGAAAGAATTAATGAAAATACCTATGACAGTTTTCAATGCCAGAGACAACACAAAACCTTTGCAGGGAGGGGAAAAAGAGAAAAAAAGAAAAAAGAAAAAAGAAAAAAAAAAGAAAAAAAAAAGGCTAACCCGAAATAACTGTCTACTCCAGCTACTGCCAGTGCCAGTGTCTTCCCAGGCATCTTCTCCATCACACGAGCAACAAAGGTCTGTAACGTCTCCTTCTGCCCTTCTGTGCAGCCCTGGGCCTCCTGCAAAGAGCAACAGGAAGGAAAAAAAAAAAAAGGAAGAAGAAAAAGTTAAACAATTTACTTGGATAGACCAGTTCTAGGACAGACAACCCATGGGCCCAATCTGCAACGGGATCTTTGTAGATGAAAAGGTCTGCTCACACACCTCCTGCTTACTTTCCTGCTCTGGAAGGATGTTGCGTCTGCTGATACATACAGACACCTGTGTCTGTCTCAAGCCTCCTCCCAACACAGCAGAAAAGGAGATTCTATTCTAGTCAGTTTGAAAAGAATGTCAATGCTGACTATTTGCAGAATTTTGAATAAGGATTTTTCCTAAATTTCTAAAAATCATCCTTGATCTGCCAATATCTATTAGGACAAAGTTACCTCAAAAAGCTATTAAAAATGGAATTAGAAGAGACAGCTTGACCCAGCTATTATCTTTGTGTTGCACAACCTTGTTTTTGATCCAGTACTTCTAAAACCAGTTGGTTTACTGGAACCATCACTTCCCTCCCACATTAAGACCTTTCTGCCATGAAAAGAGAAGACAAATACCACCGTTTCAGCAAGGTATATTCAGAGAATATGAAAAAAAAAAAAAGTCGTAAGCAGTCTCACCTGTTTGTAGTTATGAACCATGGACAAAAACTCCTCCAAACGAAGCAGAACCAGGATATGCGGTTCTTCTGTCAATTCATTTTCTTCGTCAGTCTGTACAGACACGAAAACACAAAACAGACCAGTAGTTCTTTGCATAACCGCTCACTCAAACTGCTGTTTCCACTCCGAGGGGGGAAGCAGTTTGGAAGACAGCTATTTGGGATGCTGATGACTACTGCTATTGAGTGCAAAGAGGGAAGGAAAAAAAAAGGTAAGAATATAAACACTTTGTTCCCACACCTGAGTCAACACAGCCCGTCTTCTCCAAGTGATGCCGCACGGAACAGCTTGACTCTCAACCACACAGGAATAATTCTTAGATTGCAGAGCACTGAGGACATGTTCACCAACTTCTACTTGGAAGAGAACTGAAATTGATGCATGCATCAGACTTCTATAGCAAGAGCTGAGAGCTAATCCAAGCAAGATGCACAATGTGAGGAAAAGCACCTTGATCTAGCACCACTGTGATGTATTTCTGGCACTCCCCTGGTCGCTGAGCTTTCAACATCTTGGCAAGGGCCTTCTTCCTTTCTTTTTCCTGCTCCTGCTGTCTCTTCCGTATTTCACGCTCCTTTCTCCTCTGACACGCAGCCTGAGAAGCTGCCTCTCTTTCCTTCTGACTATGTTTTGACCTCTTTGGAGGGGGAGATGCTCCCACACTTGCTTCTTTACCTCCAAACTTGCTACTTTGGGCTGCCGAATCAGACAAACAGTCTGTTTGCAGGCACAAAGGTGATTTCCCAGAACTGCATCCATCATAATTTTGGCTACTCTGGGACACTTCTCCACACGGCAACACATCCCTCAGAACCTCAGAGGACTTTGAAAGGAACTGTCCTATACCAGAAGCCACCTGGGTAGAGCTCGAGCAGCACCCTGTTCCCTCAGCTCCCCTTGCAGCATCCCCCTGCGGGGCCTGGAAAACCTCAACGCTCTTTTGGCAGAGCCCACTACCCTGCAGCCTCCTCTTCAGCCTCTCCGCCAGCGGGACGATCTCTTCCTCACTCTCGCTCCCACTGCTCAGCACTATCACCGCACCCGGGCAAGCAGCCTCCCTCCCCGCCCTCGGAACGGAGGGCGAGGAGCGCTGCGGAAGCGGCCGCTGCAGGAAAGGAAAGACGGGCAGCACCTCCTCATCGCTCCCCTCCGCCATCAGCAACGGTGTTACCTCAGGGCGCAGCTACACACGCCGCGCGA